ACTCCTTGCAGCTGGTCCATGAGATACCGCGGCTGGAGGGGCAGGGTCTTGGGGGCCTGCTCGGGCAAGAAGAGGTGGGTCTCCTCCGCCGTGGCCTGCAGCGGGGGGGTCGTCGCCACCCGCCTGTGCACCACCATGGAGGGGCTGCCGGGCTGGTTGAGGCGAACGGGCTCTCTATCTTCTTCCTCCACCACATTGTACAGAGTCTTACTGCTGATGTCGGTAAAAGTCAGGCTCTTGCTTTGGCCGTGGTAGCTTTTAGTGAGGGGTTTGATCACTGCTGTCTGATTGCACCCTGTCTCCTGGTTCTTCACATGCACTGAGAGTCTGTGCCACATGTGTTCCCCCTTGGGAGCTTGTCTTCCACCTGGTTCAGACCATGACACAGACTTTCCATTAGAACTATGAATAAAATAAAGATGGGTTTATTTGCATTTACATTACGCAGACACAGGCAGTATAACAAACAAGCCTACAAAAATACTGATTGCTTTGTCTCATTAATAAGCCTCCCCCCTCCCAGAAATACTACAGAAGGAAACAACAGTGTCTTTTAACAGCAGCAATTACTGCCGTTTCGCACCCAAAGGCAGTTACTCCCCGCCGGGTACCCACCCTACGGCCAGCCTGCAAAGCCCAGCCCGCGGGAAGGGCTCTGGGGGGGCTGGCTGCCTGTCGAGGACTCCAGCCATGGCATTTTGTATCTAGGTTTGCTCAGCCCACCTTGCAGGGGGGGAAGGAAAAAAAAGGAAAAAAGTCACAGGAAGAGCTTCATTTAAGCCTGATTTACAGCTTACAGGAAATATTTCCAAACTGTTGGAAGAAAACCAGCCTTTGCCTTTGGCACTTTGGGTAGAGAGAGGAATTGTTACTAACCCCTCTGTTCCTTTTTGTTCCCTGGCCCCCTTTGCGTTAGGAACAGATGAGCTGTTACAGACACGAAGGACTCCAGGACTCCATCAGGCAGGAGACAAACGCCCTTCTTCCCAAGCGACTGTTATTTACAAACCAGGGTAAAGTGCTGGGACTGAGAACAGTTGGTTTGTGTGGGTGGAGGAGCAAGCAGCCACACGACCGTGGTGGGTCGAACCCTCCGACTCCGCACGCGGGCTGGATCCCACCAAAACGCCGGGCTTTTGGCCGAGTGAGGACCTGAGGGTCAGGTCTGTCCCTGGGGAACTGTAGGGTTTTTGCCTTTCCCTGTACCTTTGCAGGGAGCAGGACTCAAAGCAGGGCGATATCCCATTAGCAGCTGGGGGGACAGGGAGCCGAGCAGTGCTGAAGAGGACCAAGCAATTGTTTAATTGCAGGTCAGGCAGTAGAGATCATTCACAAGTTATAATATACATCACCTGGGTGGAAACCAGAGACCGAGAGAAATTCTGAGATGATTTATGCGAAGCAGCCTTATCTCAGGGTTTCATCCCTCGGAGGGGAGCAGAAGTAAACAAAGGATTACACCTCAGCCCCTGTGATTGCAGCGCGGGTGGGAGGCAATCTGGGTGGGAGGCTGGCCCAGCAGCCTTGCCTCCTCCGCCTCCTCCTCCTCACACCAGGGGAGATTGCTTCCCTTACAGACAGCCTGCAATGTGGTTCTCAGTATTTTGCTTTTCCTTGCTCAGACTCCTGCGCTTCTGTTTTCCAGGGAGTAAATAATTACCAGTTGCATTTTGTGGGGAAAAAAAAAAAAATATATTGACTGGCTTTGTCATAGCTGGAAGAAACTGGTACAACACAGATAATGTAAACCTGGCAAAATGGAAAAGGAATGTACATAACAATGTGGCACTTTTCTGCTGAGCAGTAAATATTCCTGGAGCAAAAAAAGAATTTGAGATGGATCCAAACTGGGAAGTTCACCTCCGACTCCAGACTCCGCAGGCTGGACCTCTGACTCACCACCTCTGTGGGAACTGGCTCACAAGAAGGGAGCCAATCTAAAATATTCCTACCTCCCCAAAGCAGGTAGTTGGTAGGACCTGGAGCTGCTTGGATTTCGAGTTTTATCCTAGAGGGAAAAAAAAGCCAAGTTCCCAGCTGAAGAATGAAACCTCTATATTATAGCGATCAACAAAAAGATAAGAATGAAGGTTTAGAAGCGTTCCTGTTTTGATTGAAATGAGCTGTGGTATGACATATTTTTAAAGTGCTACAAAGATAAGCAAATGAATGTAACTGTTGGGCGTGAAAGATTTTTAAGGTAATATTTTAACATACCAAGATCTACAAACTCTTCACACAGAAACACATTTTGTCTGCTTTAACTTCAAAACAAGTCTCTTCTTGTAGAGAGGAAAATAAGTCAAGTGCTCACATACTGTATTTTGCTGATGCTATAGCTTCCAAATACTGCAAAGGGCTTTTCTGAAAAAAATCACGATGATTATCTACTGTCTTTTATGCTAAGTCCACTTCTGCATCATTTACTTCTTCATATCTAGCTCTGGTGCGTCATCTCACTTTTGAATCCCTCCTCACACCATCTGCTTAGTCTCTATCTCATTTTGTTCCCAAGATTTTGTATTTTACATCAAAGGCAAGCACTGCTATTTTAAGGAACTCACTACCTCTGTCTCCAGATCTTCCTCCTATTCAGTTCATTTTCCTCCCCCTCACTCTCAAATTCTGCTCTTCTGACTTCTTTCTTCTGTAGCACTCTCCATAAGGCGCTTAATCGAGCCCAAGTCAACGGCCATACTGAAATCAAACTGCTCTGGGACTGCAATACCCAAATGTGAACAAACCGCTTAATCAGGATTTGTCTGTTACCGACTTGCTCTGCAGGGAGAGCCGGTGCCGCCGAAGCACCTTGCCAGACCTTACTGCTCATGACTGACGGCCTTGTGACAAATAGATTGAGAGCTGCAGTGGCTCGCCATGGGGTCAGTCCGGTGATCTCCACCGGGAAATCTCTCTTTTCTGTTACTTTTTTCCCTCGGTCTTTCCCTCAACTTGCTCTCCTTGCTGTGTCCGTGCACCGTCAGCCTGTTAACGCATCGCGTTTGAGACGGATGTCCCAAGACTGTCATAGAAATACTTGGGCTCTGTCTTGCTGGACAGCTGGCAGGGAGTCACACCGAGATGGACACGTTCAGGCAGAATGAACAGTTAGCCTGGAACAAAGACCAGCCATCTTGAATGACGAAAAGCGAAGATGGGGTTGGAAAAACTCAGACCTGAACTGGGTCTCGGCCAGATAGGAGTGAACTGACTTGTGCACAACCATGGTGACAATCCTGACTGCACGCGGGACGCATGGTCACCATTCCCTAAGTGATTGTCGTCATCTTTTTTGAAGGAAGCATCCGTGGGAGAAGGTGAAGATCAAAATAATCTGCCTGGTATAATGGGAGAAGGGGTGATTTTTCCACACAAAGGCAGGAGAGAGCACCAAGCGAGACCACAGTTGGGGTGTTGAAAACGCAATGTTCAATTGCACAGTGACGAGGTGGGACTAACTGGTGTGTTCTTGCTTTTATCAATATGACAGTTACCCATTTCATGTCCATCATGTATTTATTTGCCTTTCCTAACTCTCTCTCTCCTTTATACGATTTCCTGTAGGATTTACACTTCACACTTACTGCCTAGAAGTGAACTCCTTGGAGCCTCAAGGGATCTTAAGGTTTGTAGTTGATTATGCCCAGTGTAACACTCCAAGTGCTATTTCTTCAAATCCTTGCATCTAGCCTAAATGTTCAGACAGGTTCTTGGATATCCTGTCAACACATAAGGTAGGCGTGCTTTTGCTTTAGAGGCAAGGACATACATTGAATTTAGTTGCTGTTTCTCAATTTTCACCGCAGCTTTGTCTAGGTCTTTTGTATTTTGGGGAATAGACGTAAGTATATTTCTTCTGTGAATTTTTATCAGTTCCACGAGTAGATCTGTCACTGCTTTGGTTAATTTGAAGTGTTGTTTTTAATATATCCATCAATCTTTACAATGTACTCTCTGCATGACTCTGGGGCAGTCTGTCATTGGGTGGCAAAGGTTTCTTTACATCGTAGAGGCTGAATGCTCCTGAGGTGGAAGATGCTTACTCCAGTGGTGTAAGGTGATCCAGCCTGTGCAACTGTCTGATCTCTCACCAGCGACGCCATAGCCTGAGATCCAGAGCATCGAGAATTAGATGAATTTCTCGTCCTGTGTGCCCGAACCTTTGTCTTTTTTGCCTTGAACATTTTATGCGTGACGATCCCTAATTGATACCACATGAAACGGTTAAACAGAGTGCTATACGCTCTGAGGAGGTTCACTTTAGGTACCGACATGTTGGGAAATGGCTCCTCATCTGATGTAGTGCGTGTCACTGCCAGAGTGAAAGAGCTGGAGGTGCAGTTAGGCAAAGTGCTTGAAGAAAGAGCCCTTCCAGTTAAAAAGGAAGGGACATTCCTTGACCTGTTAAAGTTCATCCCCCGTTTCATCCCTTTAGGACACCAGAGTTGTGGTCTGTTATCTTCTCCAAGTGGCCATGAGCTGAGGGAGCATCTTAAGCTTGCTGAGATGAGGGATACAGTCATTTGGGCCAGGGCTAGTGGTGGTGGACAAGATTCGGACACAGATTTATGAGATAAGGCTGTTTTTTTTAAACCAGCAATGGCAATTAACCGGTGGAAGAGGTTACAGGAGATGTGATATATGTTCTCTTGCTTTCATTGTCAGACTGATGCTTTGGCCAAACCTACCTCCCTGCAGTCACCATAGTATCTGAAATGGCACAGCCAGTAGCAAGCATTGGGATATCCTAGCGGTCCCTCCTCTGAGGATAAAATCTTAGGAATGAATATTAAATGCAACCCAAGAAGGGCCTATCAACTTTGTCGGCAAACGTTAGGTCCAAACCAAACCCTGAACTATCTTAGCAGCAACCGGACAGGGTCAGTGTCGGGTACTGCCCGGTCAACAAACGATGCTACCCCAGTTACCGGCCGCCTGACAATGTGCTCCAGAGAGCAGCATGCCCCGGGCTGTCCCTGTGCTCTTACACAGAGATGGGCAGGCTTCCGAGACAGCGGGGAAGCCGAGCAAAGGAAAGGCCCCATGTGAAAGGACAAAACCTTTCTCAGCCCAAAGGCCCCATCCAAAAGCTGTACATTGGACAAAACCTTTCTCAGCCCACACAGCAGTTTGTGGATGGATGCCCTCCTAGGGAAGCCAGCAGAGGAATTTCTGCCCTGCCCAGAAAGGCAGTTAGCCAGCCACAAGCCTTCTCCAGCCCTGCAGTCAGGTCAGAAGCAGTAATGAGCCTGAGCAAAGCTCGGTCCCACCGCAGCCTCGCCATTCGCAGGACCCAAGCTAACAAGCTGAGATTTAAGGCTGTACCTGCACTGCAGCACATTGCAGGTGCTTTGCTGCTATCCCCAAGGTCTCTTCCGTTATTGTCTCCATTTCAGTAAGGC